ATTTAATTAATACATTATTAGTTAATCTATTTATTAAATATAAAATTAATTACAATTAAACTTACTATTTGATAAAATATGTGTAGTTCTTCATATTTTATTTTAAAAACTTCATTTTTACTAGGATAGCTACTTTTGCTTTTATAAGGGTTCTGATTTGTTTTGCTTTCATGGAGGTTCAGACTTGCTTTGCTTTTATAAAGGTTCAGACTTGCTTTACTTTCATGGAGGTTCAGACTTGCTTCACTTTCATGGGGGTTCTGATTTGCTTCGCTTTCATAGGGGTTCTGATTTGTTTCGCTTTCATGAAGGTTCAGACTTGCTTTGCTTTTATAGGGGTTCAGATTTGCTTCACTTTCATAGAGTTCAGACTTGCTTCGCGTTCATGGGAGTTCTGATTTGTTTCACTTTCATAGGGGTTTTGATTTGTTTTGCTTTCATGGAGGTTCAAACTTGCTTTGCTTTTATGGAGGTTCAGACTTGCTTCGCTTTCATGAAGGTTCAGACTTGCTTCACTTTCATGAGGGTTCTGATTTGCTTTGCTTTCATGAGGGTTCTAATTTGTTTTACTTTCATAGGGGTTCAAACTTGCTTTGCTTTTATGAGAGTTCAGACTTGCTTCACTTTCATAGAGGTTCTGATTTGCTTCGCTTTTGCTGAAGTTCTCATTTGCTTTACTTACTTCACTTTCACAAAGATTCTGATCTACTTTGAGTATTTCATCGATTTTGCAAGAAACCTTTCTTGCAAATTTTATATCTTCTTTGTTGCTGATTTTATAAAAATAAAATCATTTTTGACAATTATCTTTATAGGTAATTTTGATTTCATTTCCAAAAAATTCAACATGTTTAATATGATTGTTTATGTTGAATATAACTGTTAGATATAATAAACGCATCAAATTGTTGTTAATGTAATCTAAAAAATTAAAAAAAAAATTAGCCATATTTTTAAAACAATTAATAATTAACAAAATACAAGTTCAGATTTTGTTAATCTATTATA